GCCATAATTTTACTCTACCCTTCATTCATTAGAGCATCTATTCACAGAAACCTTTTGAAGGGAAACTCTCACTATTTTGGTGAGCGTGTGGTGCACTGAGTCTGGTTCCCCTTCAGTGGATAAATCAACCTCTCTTGCAGTGAGGTCCATGTATCCATGATGTTGACTGTCTCTTCTGTGTCATTCTGGATCCAAACTGGCACCAGATAACGTGAGGTAGCGGTCCTCAAAGTTTGTTGTTCAGATTTGCTGCTGAATAATATTGTTATGTGTAATTTTAGGACTTCTCCACGTTGCTCTTGGGTATATTGCATTTTTCACACCAGTCATTTGGCATGTTTGGTTTTTCTCCAGAGTTGGACAGATAAGATACTCAATGAAACGAATTTGCAGACTTTAAAACAATAAACAATGCTATTTAAATGTTACCTAGTTGAGCAGAACATCAGTTTTACAAGTCTTTTTCTTAAAAAAAAAAAAAAATATTTTCACTATACATCACTGCATCCTGTACGTTTACCCTTGGTGAATTTGTTGCCTTCAGACACTGACCTTTCTTTTTTTTGCTTCTTACTTTTTCCTTGCTCCATCACAGCATATATTTGAGCAGAGTTAGTCCGTACATCCTATAGAAACCTTCCAACTCTTCACTAGTGGGTTGTTCTGATTTGCTTATGCTCTGCTCTAATAAGATGCCTTTGCTTTGTTATTTAATGCTGATGAAATCTGAGCGAGGAAGATGATGGGGATTCATGGCTTCCTCCCATCACCACAGCTATAGCTGCTTGGTCTCGACCTCTCCCTTCATGGAAACAGAGAGGACGATGTAGCCCATGGTGAGCAATCTGGCCACTAAAGTAAAAATGTGCATCTGTCAGTAATTAATTGGAGCCAAATTTAATTACAAATCAGGGAAAAAAATAGTACTGCACACTTGGTACAATTCAAGAAGCTTCTGTGTCATCCCCTAAAAACAGAAGCAATCCAAACAAAATCCACCCCAAAGTCTAAAAGTCTTATCTGTGAGAGAGGCTCTTCCAAGCTTACTTCTTGACGTTAAATAGAAAAGTAGTTTTGATTAACTGTTTTCACGTCCTTTTTGGTATCTCTTTGAGCTAAAGGACATCAAAAATAACGTGTTAAAGGCTAATTCTTAACCAGTTGTGTCAGCTGGGGATCTGTCCCCAAACTGGATTCTGAGATTTGATTGTATATAAATATTCTGATCAGATAGTTGAAAGAGAGGTTCAAAGGGCTAGGAAGGAATTGAGAGAGAACCCAAATAATTTACAAAGGAAATAATGCATTTATGTAACCTCTTTGAATAATTTAAAGGTGAGAGATTTGCTCTTGTTCAGCTTCAGCCCCATTCTAGTTTTGCTGAATAACATCAGTGAGGTCCACAGGTTGAGACAGGAGGTTCTCAAGAACTCTACCCATGGTCCTAACAGAGGTCTGAAAATCTGGGTGGTGTCAGGAGACACAGGGAAGGGTGGGACACATGCTAGCGGGGCTGGAAACACAACCACCTTCTCCTCCAGCTGTGTCAAATGGCAGATGTGTGTGCAGATAGTTTAGAGTTTTGTTTGGGGTATGGTGTGTATGGAGGGGAAAATGCATTTGATTTCTGGGCTGTACATTCTTTTGGAAAACAACTAAGGTCTGTCACAGTAGGAACAAGAATTTCAACTGTAGTCCATAATAACATACTGTAGAATGAGGGAGGGAGAATGTATTTTTAACTGAAAATATCCAAAATGGATTAGCAATATGAGTTCCAAACAAATTATTCATTTCTACTGTGTTTTAGCTTACAAGACAAACCCCAAATCCAAAGCCATTGAGCTGGTGGCAGCCATGACTATTTATCACTGCGTACTGTATGTACGTATCGCAATTACAGCAAGAAGAAAAAATGTCTTTCTTTACAATTAATATTTGTAAACGTTTATGAAAGTACATAACAAATAAATAAGACAAACACATGGCCTAATTAAGATGAAAGGCATGACAACCCTTGTGATTTGTTCTGAAAAATAAAGAACATTAAAATAGTAAGACTTAATTATTTCTGTAAACATTTCAAATTATGCTCCATCTAGAAAACTTTGAGATATATATTATAGTATCTATAAGCATTTTTGACATTTGTACATTTCACGTCAAAAATATTGTTAATTTATTATTTATTATACCATATACTGTCATATTATCACTTATTAGTATTTATTGTTCAGAAATTCAGAGTCATCTATTGTTTAATGGGAAATGGAAAAGCATTTTCTGTCTGATTGCAATTTGTGTGTTCTTGGTCTAGTGATAAAAATGCAACTTCTACAAGTTGAACATAGAAAAACATGGGTGATAATAAACAAAAATAACCGGTCTGTTTAACATTCCAGGCATTAATAATGCTATTTGATATGCAGTTTACATTTGAAAAATAAAGCTAAATCCACGCTGGGTTGAGGTTAAGGAAAATAGATGATGATGAGATGGAGGAACCAAAACCCTCAGGTTTGTTCTTGAGGAGCTCAAAGCCGCCACTATCTTTGAAGTCCTCCTTTGTCAAGGTGGATGTGTGTGTGGTCGTACCTTTTGGCTTTTCCTCGCTCTGTATTTCTCTGACATTTCAGGAGGCGGTGTAGCAGAGCCCTGTTCAGTACCTCTCCCCATTCCAGCCCTGTTTGCTTTCACCAGGAGGATGAGCTGCCCCTAATCTCACCGCAAAGCATTCCCCAAACAGCTTCTGTTACCTGCTATAAAATTTGGGTTGGTTTCTGATCAACTGGAGAAAATGTAGCCGTCAGCAGTGGCGTGACTGTGTTTTGTGTTTTATGGTTATTCATGACGTTTTGTTGGGTCGTCGTGGTCTCACGTGTCAACCCAACTTTGCTGAGTGCTCAAGAACCATACCCAGGATAAACTGTATTTAGGGTAAAAATCTGAGGGTTTAAAACTCTGCTGTATGACATGAGGCCTGACAATTGGAATTTCAGCAAAAAGAAATGCACTTAGATACAGTATAACGTGCAGCTTGGTGAGAACAGAACAGTCAATGCCTCGTGAGAAGTCCGGTGGGGTTTGATGCCTTCAAGTGCTCAAGGTTTAGTTCTAGATTGGTGCAAAAAAACTTCTTCCAGCATCATGCTCTCCTCCTGAAGGATGGATGAATGTCAATTCAGCCAGTGCCATCTAAGGAAATGTCTTTTTTCGGTACCTGTATCCCCCTAAAAGGCTCGTATTTGTAGCGATATCCAAATCTGACTCTGTTTTATCGTAATACTGCACCTGGCAAACCAAGAGCGCTCGCACCTCTTTTCTGGACTGCCAGATCTACAATCGTAAATTCATTTTACTGTGAATGTAGTTGTTTTTGCAGCAGAGATTTATGGCGTTGGATTTCATTTGCAGTGCTGGAGAAGTCCCTGTTGCTGCTATGGGATCGTACCCTCCAGTAATCCTCCTTTTCCAGGGAGGGCTGAGAGGCAAACGGTGGCTGTGGCCATCAGCCTTCCGCGCTGGCAGAGCTTCTGCCGGACAGAGGGAATTCTCCAGGACAAATCAGGTGCTGTTTTCAACTGGCTTTGTGCTGTAAGCCCGGTGAATTGGAGAGTTCAGCCTCCATATCCAGAGATGCATAAATATGCCCTGTGTGGTCTCCCAAGGGGAAGGGAAAATGTGGTTTTAGTTAAGTTGCATGGGAATTTAATTGAAAGATTTAGGGCAATGCCATAGAAGAGTAAATCATGCTTATGTGACACCGAGAAGATTTATAAAGCAAAATAAAACAACTTTAGCACCTTTACTTTTATAAATTGTTTGATATAAATGGAAACCTGTATTAGTCATTTTGTCTGCTGGTAATTAAAATAAATTAAAGGCTTCTGTGGTTTACTGATTTTTCAGTCCTTTGGCGTAAAATAATGGGGAAGACAATAGCAAAGGTCAGGGTGTTCTCTGGATGGATCACACTTAACTTCCTTCCCATGAATATTTGTATGAATTAAGCACACGCTTAACTTAATTCATGTAAGTAGTTCCTCAGAAGTACAGAAGGACTATTAAGTGATTCAGATTAAGCACAAAGCTTAGTGTAAGACCGGAGCTTGTATGGATGGTGGCCCCAAAATCTGGCCAGTCTCCAAGGCAGCGATGCTCCTGTGCGCGCGATGGTCCCGCTCTGTGCAAGAAGGTCACTTGTAACACAGAAAAATATTTGGGGGTGTTTCAGAGAGCTAGGGTAGTGGTATTAGAAATGTGACCTTCAGCGCAGGTTTTGTGAGGATTCGCAGGCATTGAAGAGTACTGTATATATTCTGTGCTGTGGCGTTGATAGGTCGAGATAAGAATACCATAATAGAGGTTGAAATGTTGGGGGGGTTGTGAGATGGTAAGTTAATGATGTGGCTGTTAATTTGAATTTAGGAGATGTTTTAAATCTAGGTTTCTTTTACAGAGACAAAAGTTGCAATTTAAAGCTCTTTGGTGGTCTAAAAACAGCTTAATTCTCTAGTAGCATGGTAATAAGTACTAATCCAGCTTATACAGTGATTGTAGTATGTCATGTTTGTGGAAGATTGCCTAACTCTGCTTTCTCTGGGTTTTATGTTAATTTTTTTAAATTAAACATAAAACCTTATAACATCTTTATGCTGAGATAAACTGTTCAATTTAACTTGCGCTCAAGCAGCAGCTGTCAGGAATTATCATGTTTCCAGCGTTCTTGCCATCACCTTGCGTCTCTACCTCCCGGATACACTCCGTGGGATGATGAAGCTCACCTTGGTAGGATTTATGAACTTAAATAATAACCCGAGGTAAAGTGAATGTTGATGTCACACGGAACGACAACTGACATATATTTATGTCGCACGTTACATTAGAATCAACTTTTCCTTTCCTCCCTGTGTAATAGGTGTTAAGTGGAAATACACTCCAGCGTATCCTCCGGTGCCCGGCGTGAGTCCATTAGCCACGTCCCCGGCTCCTCTGTGGGCATGTTCGCGGGGACTCGGGCTGTCAGGTGTTATTTAAGCTTAAAATGCTGGAGAAATTAGTTATCGCTGGTAGTTCGTGGCTTTTATGGCAGTAAAGAAACAAGTATAAGAGCATCTTTGTTGGGTTAAATTCTGGAAATGCTGCGACGTAACGCAAGCAAATCAGGAAGGGTGTTTTCTGTTAGTATTATCACTTAATTTTTTTTTTTTTTTTCTGTGAGAAACGTAAGCAGTGTCATTTCAGGCTCTAAATCTGAATTTGCTAGTAATCGCAAGAGTTTTGTCATTGGTTTACTGGTGAGCTGGGCGGTGATCAGCGATCTGCTGCTTAGCTGAGTCTTATCGCTGCCCATTTACAGTGGAGAAAATTTGAGTCTACCTCCTGCAAGCTTGTCAAGTTTTTGGCCTTTCTTGCCTTACCAGAAGCCAGTCTCCAGCCCTCTCTAATGATGCTATTGAATTCCTCCAGTTTGTCCAAGCCAGTACTGCAAACACTGTTTTCCTTTTCCTATGTTCTTTTTTTTCAAATCAACTTTTCAAATCAGCCCATTTCATTGAGGCTGTCCTGCATCAGCTCAGTATTCTTCCTAACTCATCGCAGGAAGAGATTTTCTGAAAAATCAGTAAAAGATAAACTCTAATGCAATCCGTAAATAGCCACCATTTTGCCGAGCAACCATTTAGTCTAATTTTTGTAATATTTGGGGTATGTTTTCTCCTGTTTGTATTTTTTTTTTGTCACCCTCATGCTCAACTCACAGCCTGCTCTGAGCAGGGGTATCGCGTTGCCTGTAGGAAGTTTTCCTGCCTCTGCTTTGAGTCCGGCACCCAGGTCCTTATGAGGTTATTACTCTTTGTGTCAAATAAGTGATGACATACGTAAAAGTATTATTTTTTTCCTCTTGGTATGGCTCGTAATAAACCTGCGCTCATATCTTAATTGGCATTCTGTTGACAGTCCCTTTAGAACGATCAAATATTTGATGAACAAGGCAATAACATTCATTTCTGACATTCCTGGACCTTTCAGATTAGCATTGACTCAGGTTGATGAAGATAGATACAGGATCTGTTCTCTAGGAAGTGTTTGTTCTGTAGATACAGATTATCTAAGAATGGTGTGTGTTAGCATAGGTGATACTATTTTATATATATACACACATATGTATATGTATGTATATGGGTATTTGGGGAACTTCATGAGTTTTAAGGTTGACAGCCAGGATCAGAAGTTTTTAATATTAGTGATGTCTGTTTGGCAGTGATCTTGAACACAAAATCCATGTAAAATTGGGAAGAATAGGATAAAGAATAGGAAGAATGGGAATCAAGATAGGAAAAGATAGGAAAGATTTTGAAAGTAATTAAACATTGAATAAATTAATTCTGAATCTGAACCACTAAAATGGGTAGCCAAAAAAAAAAAAAAATCCATCTATGTTGAAAAGTAGTTTATTAAAGCTTAATGTTTTATGTGCAATAAATACCTGTTCTCACATATTTTTTTTTAATCCCTTATGATGAGAAATGTAAAACATAATTTTCTATGCCTCTGCAGTTCTCTGTAGGTTCAGGATTCGGTTTGCTTGAAAGCAGCGCTAGCCAGGGGAGAGGAGATGCTCGGTGAATGCAGGGAAATCTGCCACTGGTTACAGTAGGGTCACATTTTTGCATTACCCATTTAAATACATTCATTTTCTGATAGCCTGGTAAGATATAGGAGGCTAAGGTAGCAGCTTGTTAGCGCTGTTTGTGCCACATTGAAGGATGTGTGCGGTGTTGTGGGCTGGAATAGCAGGAGTGCTGTGGCAATACCGGGGTGCAGGGGTAGAAACAACATTTCGTTATAGAAGATACCTAATAAAAATGTGAAAATAAACCAGGAAAAGAGTAAAAAAAAAAATAAACCAGACCGTACTAGATAAGTGCACTGCATAAATCAAAAGGGTTTATGTCATAACATGAACATGTGCCATTCCTGCTCATATATTGAATTTCAGTAGTTGGTTGCATAAAGAAGTAAAGTGTAATGAAACTGGCAAGCAAAGTATTCCCTAGTCAGCCTTATCTTTGTTCCATTTGTCCTTCAGATACAGCTTTTCTTGCCTTTTTCAATAAAATCCATCCATTTTTTTTCCTTTCTTTTTTTCTCTCTTTTTTTTTTTAATTTTTTTTTTTTATTTTGCATCTCTCTGTAACCGAGCTAGGAAGACCAGTGAGATTCGGTGCTTTTTCTACTTGGGTTCTTAGCAGCTGCTTTTTAAGAGATCAAAACTTCCAATGCTGCTACACGGTATTAAGGCTTAGCTCTTGATGTGTCCCTATAGGGGTTATGTTTTTCTTGGGGGGGGGGAGAAGGGGAAGGAGTGACCCCTGCGAGCATGCTCCCAGCCAGCAAACACTGCTCTCCTTGTTTTCCAGGATCCTCTTTGCAAGCTCGGTGCTTAACCTGGCTGAACTGGCTGCCCTCCGCCCTGACCTTGGCAAATTGAAAAAGGTCCTCTACTTCCATGAGAATCAATTGGTATATCCTGTCCAGAAATGCCAAGAAAGGGATTTTCAGTATGGATACAACCAGATTCTTTCATGGTAGGTAATTCTTGTACCTCTCCATGTTATTTAAGGTGTCCTACAGCATCGTAAGACCGAGGAGTCCTCCTCTGTATAAATGATGATTCTGTAGCAAACCAAGGTACCAGCAGAGTCCCAAAGAGAAGGTGACAAAAGTGCTGTGGCAGAAACCATCTGCTCTCTACTCAATTTCTTGTATAAAGTCTACTGATGCTGTATGGGGCTACCATAGCGTACCAATATCTTGGTCATAAGCAAGATGCTTTTTTTTTTTTTTTTTCACTGATGCTTTGCAAAGCTGCAGCTAATCAGCTCTTGCTCGGCCATGGCTTTTAGTGCATCCGACTGAAATTATATAGAGGGTTTTAGGGAAATAAACAGAAATTAAAATGTACTGCAGCACTTTCCTTGTGAAGAGAGGGGCAGTAAACATAGCAGATAAATCCTTATATTTCTTTTCATCTAGCATTCAGAAATTGTGCAGTGCTAAAATACCCAGACGTTTTAAAGGCTGCGGTCCTTTAGTGTTGCTAAAAACAAATGTATTTCTCAAATCTGAGTTAATGAAAGAAGTTAATAACAGCAACGCTGAAAAGCTTTGTGGTTAGGCACTGTATGAGCCTCAGTGAAACAGCAAAACTCAGTTGTTTTGAACTAAAATAATTCATTCCCGTGTTCTTTCTGAGCTATCTGTTAGTAGAATTATTTGGAATAGGGATGGAGCTTTTTAAGGTACAAATTAAGCTTTTGCATCTTTCTAATACGAGCCAGTTGATGCAGAAATTTCTACAATAATCTGCGTGTACCCTGGCCATTCTATAGCTGCTTCTGTCACAGCTTTTGCAACGTGTTTCACTTACTGAGCAGGAAAGATGGGAAAGTGAAAGCTCTTTTGGAAACAGGAGCAGCCATTTTCAGATTTTATAAAAAAAAAAGGTGTGTTTTTCGGCACAGGGGAAAGCAATATTTTTTCTGTATATATATTTTGCTTTATTATGGCACATATGTATTGTAAGCTGATATTTATCCTCAAAATATGCATTTTTGAGATCATAAAAGTATCTTTTTTTCACCTTTAAAAAAGAGACTTCTATAGATGCTCCATTCTTTCTCCTTCAGCCTCTCCAGGAGCTTCTCCATGTAATGGTATAATGTTCATCTGCCCTTTTTGTTGCTGCAGAAACCCCATTTTTAACAGCAGAGAGAATCCATCTCCTCTGTACAGTTTGGAACTACAGCCTCTCACCCAATTATACTTTTCACCAGCCTGGTGATTTATGAACGCATCTCCTCAACGTATCTTATGACCCATGGGTCTGTATTACAGTATCTAACACATGGAGAAAACCACCTGGCCATAAAGTGTTTCTTACCTCTGCTTGTGGTGTGTGTTTGCCAGCGTAGCTACGATTGTGTTAGCACTTCCAGGGGAAATTTCCAGATATTTGAGGTTTTTTGATAGCTTCTCATTTTCTCCAAGTGGAGAAATAATACCTACATTGTCATCTAACTACATCTTAAAATTATCCAGTTGATTTTTAAAACACAACACTAAGGAACAAAACATCGCATTAATATGCCATATTAATTATGTGTATATATATATATACACACATATATATTTGGTGAACATTTTTAATCAGGATTATGTATGCCTAGGTTAAAATAACATTCTATTTCTCTGGCATCCTGCTACCTGACACACTTGGTCAGTTGGAGGTAGGTTAACCAAAGGTAAGATGTCCTTCGATGTGAAGGATTATTTCTAAGGAATTTTCGTCTTCTTCCAAGTTTACTTCTACAAAAGTCTTATTACGGTGGGCCTTATCTGTTTATAATGTTTTAAAGAGATAATGGCAGTAATATTATTCTTACCATTTTATGAATAAAAAGTGATCCACAGAGAATAGGATGTGCTCCTTTAGAATAATAATAATAAATTATTACTTAGTTAAAAAAGAGTTTAAAAATATTGCAAAGTATGAATAGAGAGAAATCAAGACCTTTCTAATTAAGGTACATATGCCACTTCTAATTCATATGAAAAGGCTGATTTTAATTAGCATTCTTCTTGTACCTTTTGTTTGTTTATGAGAATATGTATCCTGTTTCCATTGCATTTAAAATATTTCTGTTCCTTTTGCAGCAGCAGCAGCACATTCATTAATCTCAACCACTTTTTACAGTTTGGTTGCTGATGTTGTGGTGTTCAACTCTGCTTTTAATATGGAATCGTTTCTTACATCCATTGGAAAATTTATGAAGCTGATTCCTGACCACAGACCTAAGGATTTGGAAAAAATAATCAGACCGAAGTGCCAAGTTCTTTATTTTCCAGTCAGGTTTCCTGATGTGAGCAGGTCAGTACATTTTCCACGTCATAAATTGCCTCCAGCCTGTCAACACTCTCTATTTATGGTGACGTTCTAACTAATCAGCTAAAGCATCGTTAATGAAAAAGTTTGATAATATGCAAAACCCCCTAATTGATAAATGTGTTTCAATAATCAGAGGCTATTCCGGCTGCCTCTGATCTGCCCAGCCTGTCCTTAGCGCGTGTCGTACAAAGTTTTATCGTTCGGGATGAATGATTTCCCACTTGTTTTACCCTGTAAGGAGTCGCCTGCTCGTCAGCTCTGTGTCTATTTATACAGGCGAGGTCAAGGAGGAGAAAGAGATGCTAGAGAACAGTAAAAGTGAGAAGCCTGTAGTCAAGAAGCTATTTCCCTCGGTGTGTTGCAATGGGATTTGATTCCCTCCTCCCTCCCCTACCTTTGCTTCGGTTGCTTTGCAGGTAGGCGAAAAGCATCCCGGGAGCAGGGAGCAGGCTTGCAGACGTTGGTGTTCGCCGCAGCGGTAGTTGCTCTTCAGTCTTCCTCGGTTACTCTGAAGGACGTTTTTTATTACCCTTGTTTCGGAGCCTGTCTTGAAATTAGTGGTGGGTTATGTGGCTCAAAGGGAACATTCGCTAGATCCTTTTCACTTTTGATTAAACCTGGCACAATTGTTTTTCCTCTTATAAGGAACTCTCCTCCCACCAAACAGGAACTTTGCTTCAAGGGGACCGGTACTAAATAGAGTGTGATTCTGCAATTCAATTATCCTCTTCAAACCGTCACAGTGCTGGGTATTTTTTTTTTTTTTTTTTTTTTTCTGAAATAAGGATGGAAAGCACCATAATGACTCTTCAGGAGTCCGCCTTTTGGTCTGATAATAAGTTCTGCTCATACTTGAGATCATTCTCCCTGACTAGCTTGTACTTACAGGTATTTCAAAGACTGAATATACATTTGTGGTAGTTTGGGGTAGAGAGGTTTTAAGTCCAGGAGCTGAGGTCATGCACTCTGTTGGTGTTCGTGCCGCAAGGTTTGGGTTTCAGTATCTTGGAAGACTTTATATTCTGAAGTTTAAAAATCAACATCTGAAGTCAAGTCTTTAAACCTATGTTTTTAGCAAGTGGGTTCAAATCCTCCGATGTTCTTTCGGGACTTGGCTGCCTGGATGGCATGGAGATCAGTTCCTATATTATCTTTGAGGATCTACTGTTGCTGCTTAGAGACCATGTTTTTCAAGAGTGGGGGAATGCTCTGGATGCCTTGCATGTTTGATATCGAGCCATTTGTACCGGGTCTCGTGGTTTTGGCATAGCTTGGCAAGTCATGTGGCCCAAGCCTAGTTTTGGAGATGAAGTTGTGATAACCCTGTCTCATATGTTAAGTCATCTCTTTTGGATTTGTGAGCCTTGGCAGATGGGGTCAAATGAGACCTGACAAATTGTTCATCCAAAGTAGAAGGTGATGAGGTGGTAAAATCGTTAGACTACCACCCAGACTGCTCAAGTGGGAAGATCCCGTTGTGCTGTATGCTCTTGGTGTCCTGCTCTTGCATTAAGTTTCATCTCACAAAGCAGGACATCTTACATGTTTTTATTGTGGTTGTTGCACTTGAAATTATATCCAAAAGCTATTTTCAGCAGTGATGGGCAAAATTAAGATGTTTGTAAAAAAACTAACTGTACAACTTTGTCAGCAGAGTAATTAGGAACACCAATTAATATCATCTCTAGTATTTCTAATATATTTTTTTATTCAACAACTAACTCTAAATGTAAGTTCTATTTTTTTTTTAACAAAGCTCAATATCATCATAGTATTAAAAAAAGCAGAAGAAAGGACTGCTTCTGCAGAACTCTGAAGTTCTTGGGGTTTTGACCTATATTTATTATTTCTTTACAAGGTCGTGTTTTAAATAAAGTTGAATGCACCTGTGGCAATCGAATGCTGTTTTTTAATTTAGACGGTATTAGTATAGTGACTGAATGGAGATTGAGGAGAAAAAGGTTAAGAAAAACTGTGGCCAAGCTAAAATTTATAAAGCAAGCTCTTAGCCCAGAGTGTTTTTCAAGTTATTTTCAAATGGTAATTTGCTTTATCCAAACCAAACTCATACAGTGTAAGTAAGTGATTATTTGCATGACTGACAATCATTTCAGTGCCTGCAGTCTTTTGAAAATGCATAATTTTGCTGAGATGTTGGGAAAATATTTTAAAATTCTGAAGGCAAAATAACCAGGGTGATTTTTTTTTTTTCTTTCTTTGACCTCTTTTATTTTGCGTGCGAATGTCTCAGGGTCTGTTTGTGTCATAAACATTTGTATTTAAGAGAGAGGTAATCTAAGAAATGATCCTCATGCGTGTGACGGTGATCTCTTAAAGATTATTTTAGATTAATAATGCAATCGTAGGGCAAAATAAAATATATCTAACCCTTGATCAAAACTAGTGTAATGAAGGAGCATGTCACATGAGTTAATCCTGTAACTTATCAAGCTTTTAGTGTAATTAGCGTAAATGATGGGTGCACAAACCAGCCCAAGCAGCACAGTGAGGGAGCACTTAGGAGTGAAGGTATAATGATGAAGGATACCCTAGGAAGTACTTGTGAATACTGTTAGATATACCATTGTACGTATGGGTAATGTGTATTTAAATATTTCAGATGGGCACCTACTCACTGCTTTTCTACTTCTGAGAGGAAGTTATGGATGGTTTTTTTTTATGAAGAGTCTTCTTTTTGAGAAATACTTGTCATAAGGGCAGGTATTGGTGTTCCCAGAGCAAACCACCAGACTGTAGTCCTTATCTGACAATGAGAAGAGATGAAAGGATTTGAGGATTTAGCAGAATAAGAAATATACTGACCTAATCCTCCTGTTTTCTGGTTCTGACAACGACTAGCTTCCATACTGCAGCATCTGGTGCCACAGCTACTCCAGGTATATTCATCCTCTGTAATTTCTGACTTTGAATTCTCCTCTTTGGAATGAAGTCTATTGTGTAGAAATACATATTGGAGTAGTTCTAAGCTTGGGGACAAAAAACCCCTCCAAGTTAAGGCTGTCCGTTCACAGTGCATCAGTATTGCAGGGGATGGAGACCAGTGGCTGATCTGACGTGCCATGGGTGCTGCGTATCAGACAGGGGCTTGATAACACAGTGAATTAAATACATTGGAATTCACACTTATATTGTCACTGGCTTAATTTCAGTAGATTTTTTAATTGTAATATAAATAAAACCTTTTTTTTTTCCCCTATACCATTAACAGAGTCTATTTTGATATAGTGTTTCCACTTTTGCACTGGAAAACTGTGGTCCAGGAAGAAAATCCCCTTTCTACCAATGTTATCTTTGGTCCTCACATCTCTGTACGTCAGCAGATCCTGGTGGAACACCTCTGGAAGGTCTTTGTGCAAATTTTGTATGAATTCTCTCAACCCATCTGCATCCATCCCATTGGCAAAGCAGGGTCAGATGAGGTACCCCTTGGAATTCATTTCAATGCAAATTGGAATATAGATTTGGGTTATTATATTGCAGTATTGTAGTATATCTTTATTATTATCACAGTGCGGTTGGAAAGAAAGATGTTTTATAAGAAGAATGAAGTAACACTCCTAAGAGCTCAGAATGCACATTGGACTAAGGTGGAATAATATAAAAGAAACATGAGAGGATGAGGATTACAGCAGAAAATAAAAATAGATTCTTTTAAGTGGAACTTGTTAGCGAGTATCTTGTATTATCTGCGTTGCACATTTTGAAGTAGAATTAAGGATTTTTGACTGTTGTTTCTTCATTTGCTTTTATAACTTACTACCGTTAACAGGATATTTTCAGCCGTTTGATTTTATATTTTTTTAGTTATAGCATAAGAGAGGCAGAATTTGCCAATTTAGAGAGTACTTTAGGGCCAGTCAGGGGAGTTCCTGACTAAAGCAGAAGTTTTTAAAAGATGCTGACAGTATCCCTCATACAGAAATATGACTGTCACATGTGGGGGAGCCTGTTTTGGGGAAATTAAAAAAAAATAATTAAAAATGGATCACTTGGACCAGGCTCGCAGGGCTGAACTTCAGACCTCTGTTTAGATAACTAAGAGGCTCCCCCCTTCGTCTGTCATCCTAATGCTGTGCAATAGCTTTGTGCTAGAAAAATACAGATGTCAAGAAGCGAGGAGAGAGTTGAATCCAGAAGAGCCCAGAGCTATGGCTGGGCACTGGGGACGTGTCTGCGTTGCTCAGAGAGATGCTCAGAAGTGGTACCCAAGCGAGCTCCAGTGAACTGCCTTGCCTATGGGAAGCAGTATACCTTAGAAAAGCAGTTTTTGGCTAATTAGCCTTCCAGTGAAATAGCATCTATTAGCTTAGGTGCAGTACTATGCTAATGAGAGTGATTCTGGTGGCGAGGCTGGGTACCGCCCTTGGTGGTGGCTCAGGCATCTCGAGGTGTGCCGTGGTGGGCATCGCCACCCTGCCACCGCGCTTTATGGGTAGTTAGCATAATTAGAAAATTCCCAGTAATCTGCTCCGACCTTGGGGCTTGCTGCTGAAGAACTGGGTGATGGCAATGACTCCCCTGAATGTCTTTCCTCCTCACCGGCCGCGAGCGGGTTTGGAGGGTTGGTGTTGACATGCCAAGAGGTGCGCAATAAGGGTGAGGGATGCTCGTGAGATCTGGGACGCAGCACCTGCTGGGGGGAAAGTGCACTATGAGCTGAAAAGGATTATAAAATGGAGTCTTTGGGTTGTGGATTGGTTATCTTCTGCATCTCCGGGAGCAGTGCGAGGTGCAGATGGACGCACCTAGAGCGAGAGGTTGGGTGGTTGTACAAAAGGTGCCTCAAGCGTTGATATTTGATGGTGCTTTCTTACATGGTGCTTCCTCCACACATACGTTGGATGCCATTGGGGGGGTTAGGGGATGATGCAGGAGTTTTCCTTTGGATTAACGGAGGAGTAGCTGTTGTCCCAGCGTGATCTTCCAGGCAGAACATGCCAGTTTTATGCCCAAAATTATTTATCCCCAGGACTCTCCAGCAGCAGCAGACTGAGAGTGCCCTCCTAGAGGAAAGCCTAACGGAACAGCCTGCTGGGATGGATTCATTTTGCTAAAGTTTCTAAAAAGTCATTTCTTTTTATCTATTCAGGGACAAAAGCAGTTTTACTGACTCTCTTTTATCTGTCGTATAGGTATTCCGCTAAACGCTATCATAATAACCATTTAGTCTGACAATAGCTCACAAGGATACTTAAGCAGAATTCTCTGTGCAACCTAGTTTTTTTTATTATGTTGGGTACTGCTCATGTTGCATACAACACATTCCCATAAAACTTGCGTTTTGTATTTACAGAGAAATTTCTCTGGAGAGTTAAGGTCTTGTAAAACATTC